AGTAGTAGAAGAAGAAGTAGTAGTTGTTGTAGTAGTAGTAGCAGCAGTAGTAGTGGCAACGTAGCCGTGGAAGGAGTTGCGAAGCCCACATCCAAAACCTCAATTTCTAATGCAAGCTCATTCCGCCTGACTCCATGAACCAACCGTAAGCAAAGCAAAAGCAGTCTTCCACATCTCTGTGCGTCGACCCTAAACCCTAAATCCGCGACGTCTACGACCCAGCCTCAAGGGTCCACACCTGGGCAAACCGCGGGGCATCTGGGTTCAGTATCAATGTCTTGGAGTTTCGGGCTTCGGTCGAAGGTAGAAGCCTGGATAATTACCAACACTACTCCTCCGGGCTTCTGCTAGTGTATGCAGTACACCGAAAGCCTCTTAACACCATGAAGGCCCCGACATTATGAACGAGAGCTCCCGGTAATGGGGTTTCGTTGTGTTCCTGGTGTTTCGAATTGGGGTCTGGAAATTCGGAGTTTAGGTCTTGCGAATTCCTGTCCGTTTAGGGTTTAGGGTTTAGGGGTTTAGGGTTTAGGGTTTAGGGCTTGTTATCGGTAAGTACTTGTGGACTTGTGTGCTTGAGCAGTTCGACATTGGATTGTTGGGTTCGCGAGATCGGCGATCATTCTGACTAAACCAAAAACCCCTACTACTACCATTACAACTTCTATTCATAATTATTGACAACAGGAGTAACAGGAGTAGTACTAATAAACAATAGCAACCAGAAGAGCAATCGTTACATGGTAGCAATGAAACGTATGAACAGAACAGTGATTCTTGTCAAACTGACCCCCCACTTGTTGTATTTTAAGGCGCTACTGCATGCTGGTCCCGTGCCTTTTTAAGCTGGTGTTTCCCTCGTTATGCTTGATCTGTTTTTTTATATGCTGCGAATCCTGTCCTATGCTGGCTGAGAAGGGGCAGTGGCAGAAGTAGCAGCAATTAATAATTGTGATAGTAGCTAAACCCCTGGCAAAACAAACATCAGAAATGCCGATCTTCTAACCTAGAAACCCTTCTAGTCGGGAAACGCTTCTAATCCCGATACCAAGCCTGTAAATCTTCGTTTTTGTTCCTAGATTTGGGAAGCTTTCGTTCCCTGGGCTTGGGTTTCGACAACGGTGTTTCGGATTTTGGCCTGAGGGTTCAGCGTTTGAGGTGTCGGGTATTGTCGGGTTTACGGTTCAAGCAGGGAGGCTTCGAATAGGAGCCTCGATGATCAATAAGACTCTTCCGGTACAGCCCCGACACAATTCCGATGTAGCAGAGCTGCTTTTCAGATTTGCTGTCCCTACGTATATGTATATGATATATGTTATGTATATTTACATAGCTAGCTAGCCAGCGAGCTAGATGGGTAGATTGATACAGAGCTAGATAGGTAGCTAGCCTTCTATCGAGCTAGATAGATAGACAGACAAACAGATCGATAGATAGTTTCTGAGTTCAGCCGCAGTTTATGGCAGCAACGAGCGGGCTGAGGTGGCGCTCTCATTCAAAACCCTACTTCTTCCCACCGGAAGAACACAACCACTCAGAAACCACGATAATTTCAAGGCCTTCTAAGGCCCATGCTAGAGGCCCACTAAACTCCTCGGCATAGCTGGCGAAGTCGTACCTGTCGGTATAGGGTGTATTCGGCTTAGGAGTCAATGAACTTGAAGGGTTCACGGGAGGTGGCAGGGCTTGCTTGAACCAGGGCAACTTGCGAATAATGTAGGGGCCTTAATAGTTAGAATAGGGTTTTGGGGCTCCTTATTACAATGTATAATTATAGTATAATGGGCCCAAAAACCCTATTCTAATTATTAAGGCCCCTACATCAGTCTAACTCGTGATATCCATGTCCATGCAAATATGTTCTTCATGCCCTTCCTGGGGCGCTGTGGGCGACCCCCACTGATTCCATGAGAGTGTAATGAGCTTCAGACGGTAGTCTACACAACTTTGCAGGGCCCGGCCTCCGGGAATTGTCGGGGGGAAATCCTACGTACTCCTACTTCAGAAATGGCTCAGGCTCTTAGCTGATTGGAAAGAGAGTTCAAGTGGACTCATGGGTATGTTGAACTGAAGGCCAATATCCCTTCCCCCCCCCCGTAGTGAGTGGAACAGTGCCTGCAAGCTAGTCACCCAGGAGGGCACGTTCTGCAGACGGTGTTGATGAAGCTCTTCCAGTGGTCTGGATGTTTCATCTCCAGCTTCACGTAAATGTTCGGCACGAGGGCCTGGATTTCCATGCGAGTATCTACAGCAGAATACCATGAACACATTCAAGATGTGTATGAAGCTCGAAGGAATGCACAGCCATCTGGCAGGACTTGCAGTTGCTGCAACTCCCAGGCCTTGCCACAAAAGCTGGAAGGTGTGCCATGCCCACCATCGAAACTGTCCTGCCTGCACCTGTCCGGCAGCGTACTCGGCGCGCGCGAAAGAAGGGTCATCGGCCTGAGAAGCTTACCAATGCCCTCTAGCCGAAAAGACTCGATCCCTCACAGGCCACAAACGGGCCTTTATGATTGGACTAGGTTTTGCGGTATGTATGCTATTTTAGAATCATTTAGGAACTACATGACGATAAGGGAATAATGTTACCAATTTATGTAGGCTTCTATTGTAGGACTGTTAGGACGTCGGGGTGTAGGATTTCCGGCTTGGGACAGGTCACGAATCAGAAACGATTAAAGAAGCTCATTTCAGCACCTTCAGTTTCTGCTGCGCTACCCAGCGCCTGCCTTGCCGGCAATCACGAAGGAAGCCATGATGCGCGTACTCTTGCCGCAGGAGGACAGCGGCAAGTACTGAAGGTGCGTGTGCTGGGCATGGTCGGGTCACACCATGTAATGCTATGCGGTCTTGCGTTGCTGGGTGGCGAGTGCGACGTCGGTGAGCTCCAAGTGCTGCAGGCAAGGGCAGGAAGCAAAGAAGGGCAGTCGCATGAATCGGCAGCAAGGCTGATGATGCTGCTTGTGATGACGAAGACGATGACGATGGAAATGATACTGGGTGATACAGAAGCAGACGATGAGGATGCTGCTGATGATGGTGATGATGATGGAGGTGATGAGGGAGGTGATGATGATGGAGGTGATGATGATCATCATCATGCTGATGATGATGATGCTGATGATGGCGATGATGATGACGATGGCATGACACAGAAGCCGTCGGTCGTTTTCCCTTCCTTCCACATACATCAGACATCCTCACCCCTCGCTGGCAAAGTCGGGCTGCGGAGCTTAGCCTTCCAACATCTCCTGCACGAGATTCTTGGCTCCATCATAATCTCCCATAAGCCATAGCATGTACCGGACATCGACACCCATGCTTCGAGAGTAGTCTTTACTCCACTTGAACTCATTCATGAGACCTTGGCGCTGTCGATCAAAGTTGATTCCCACAAGCTCTCCGTTTGCGTTCATGACTGGGCTACCTGAGTTGCCACCGACTGTATCCGTAGAATAAAGAAGGCAAACAGGGACCTTCTGACAGTTCGAGCTTGGGGACGACAGCATATCGTAAAGCCGATCTGGACACCCGAACTCGGCCAGTCGTCCTTCATCCTTGCTCAGCTTTGCCTCCACGGCCTTGTCAAATAAACCAGCCAAAGTGGTTTGCGGCTTGCAGACGACCGCGTCGGCAGCTTCATACCCTTCAACGAAGCCTGCAGACATTCGCAAAGATCCATTGCAATCCGGATACATGACCTCACCGTCACTGTGCTTGCGTTGAAGCTCGAGCAATTTGGCAAACAACGCGTCTCGCTCACTCAGCAATGCCTTGGAGCGATCACGGTTGCTTGCGTAGGCCTCCCACAAGGAGCCGGCACACTTGACAAATGGGTCCTTAGTTCCTGAGTTCATAAGCCCAAAAAGTATCAAAAGTGTACAATAGGGGATAAGATTATCCCTAACAGTGTAATTAAAGTGTACTCACTGAGCTACTAAGGGTCGTCAAGCAAAGCTTTCCGATCTTTGGCAGCGCCATCTTCGGCGAAGATCGACTTCATGAGCTCAGGATCTGACAATTTGTTCAGCTCCGAGCTTCCTATGGTAGACTCCATCTTCGAGAGATGAGACTCGCCGCCAAAGTTCTTCAGAATCTCTGCGAAAGCGACCTTCAAGTCAGGCGTCTTCTCTAAGATGGCCAGCGCGTCTTTGATGAGAGCCGCCTTGTTGCAGGTTCCCCTGTAACCCCCCCTTTTTGAAATAAGGGATCTCCCTTCTTTTTCCTAGTGTTCCGCTTTTAAGAAGGAGACCCCCGAAATAGAAAGGGTAGAGGGGTGCTATTCAGGCCCCAGAGCCTCATGTGGCTGATGGATCTCCCCCAGGCGCTTCGCCAGTCGCTGTGCAAGAAACGGGAGATTGCCTCTCTTCGTCAATAACCGAGTCCAAAAGAGTTTGAACTTTCTAGTATAGAATATAGATATATATAAGGCCAAAAAAATTAAAGTTCTCCCATCGGCTAAGTAAGTTGCGGTTTCGATACGACGACTCGCGCTCTCCGTCTGGCTTGGGGCACTCGATGGTGAGATATTCATGTAGCGCATGTCCCACGGCGAGTAGGGCACTGCCACAGTAGATCCCGCGGCAGGCCTCCAATGCTGTAGAGACGCTCTCCATGGCACGCAGCTCATCATAAATCTTGCTGAGGCGGTCAAGAGCCTCCTTTGCTTCCGGCGCCTTCGCGCAGAGAGCTGTCTCTTCTTGCGAGCGTTCCGACATCAAGCCGAGCTTTCGCATCATGACCAATTTGCCTTGGCTGCGCTTGTACTCATTGGCCAACCCTTTTTTGCTGGTGCCCAACTTCAGGGCGGCTTCCTCCGAGTCCTTTTCGTACTGTGCGATCAACTGGAGCTTCCGTGCGAAGTCCGACACCATGTTGGGGACGGCGACCTCATCCGAAAAGCGGAGCCTTGGGGTTGGCGCATACCTCATAGTCGAGCCTGGAAATCCCAGCAAGAAAATGAAATCACCCTCTGCGGCGCCTTGCTGCTGGACTTTCAGAGACGTCTTGGGCTTGTAGGGGACGTTGTCCACTGAATACTCAGCAGCCTTTCCATCGGGGCCCACATAGGCTCGCAGCAGGGTAAAATCGGCCGTGTGCCGTGGCCATTCGAAGTTGTCTGTATCCCCACCAAAGTTGCCCAAACTCTTGGGCGGGACGTACACGATCCGTACATCCTTGATTCTTTCGTAGGTAAACAAGACATAAGACTCATTGGGCAGCATTTCCTGCACGTCACATCGTTTTCCACCATCGCTGGCTTCTCCTGAAGGCTTCTCTTCTTGCGCAGCTTGCGCAATCTCTTGCATGACGTCGCGGACACGATTGGCACGCTTTAGCGGGTCCTGTTCCGACCCAATCACATCTGTGACCTCTTTGGACACGTCCTCTGGGTTCGTGTAAGGGACTTCATTTAAGTCACAAAATAGCGGTCTATAAAAGTTTAAATCAGCAGTATGGTTTCCTTTGTTTCCTCATTGTGGTAACATAAGCTAAATACCTTTACAAGAACCCTGTCCTAAACTTTAACCCCTAAACCCCTAAATCCCCAAATCCTAAACTTTAAACTTTGAACCCCCTAAACCCCTAAGCCCCTAAATCCTAAACCCTGTCCTTGCAGGACTTCGTAATCCATACTTCGTAATTGGGGCCCTTCAGCTCTTCCTTCAAGGACTTGGCCACGAAACCATCTCGAACATAGTCATGACCTGGGGTTTAGGATGTTAGGGCTTTAGGGCTTGAGGGTTTTAGGGCTTTAGGGTTTGAGGGTTGAGGGTTTTGGGGTTGAGGGTTGAGGATTTTAGGGTTTAGGGTTTTAGGGTTTAGGGCTTTAGGGCTTTAGGGTTACTAGGGTTTAGGGTTTAGGGATCAGGGTTGAGGGTTTTAGGGTTTAGGGTTTTAGGATTTGAGGGTTCAGGCTTGAGGGTTCTAGGGTTTAGGGTTTTAGGGTTTTAGGGTTTAGTGTTTTAGTGCCCTTTAAGTCAAGCATCTGGAAGCATTCGTAAACTGACTAGGATCCTCTTGAGCCCAACTTGGGCAACAACAAAATGTCCCAAGGGCCTACCTAGTGACTGCCTTGCAGAGAAGCTTGTCGCACCGCATCATAAGCAACATGCCAGTTCGTGAGAATCAGGCCGCTGGAAGAAACAAAGGATCCCGTTCCACCGCGACCGGCCGCACCCACCTAGCTTGGACCATAAAATCCTTTTAAAAACTATTCGACATGAAGGATCCTCCTAAGCCGAACTAAGGAAAGTATAGAATGTCCCGAAGGCCTACCCAGCCACTGAGACAAGAGCATCGGAGAAGTGGCGGCCTCCACTTCCTTCACTCTTTGAGGTACCATCAATGGCATCCGCCGACACCTTCAAGCCCATTTTCTGCAGCATCCTGGGCTCTTGTTCTGTAAGGGGCTGAAGTTAAGTTACTATCATAAGCAAACCATATTCCTTCAAGTTTACCTAGATCCCTATTATGGTAACTCAACTAAAACCCCTTAACACGAACCCAGCATCGGTTCCAGGGACTTCACGGCAGTTATCGGCCATGTCCGAAATCTTGGGGAGGAGGCCATGCCAGAAGCGACAGAAGCAGCAGCAGTCGACATGGTAGCAGGCGGTTTAGGGCTTAAGGTTTAGGTTTAGGGTTGTGGGCTCTGTCAAACAGTGCGTGACGCAGATGAAATGGAAACCCAAGTAGCATAGAAGATCAAGCTGGTAAGCAATTGCGCACGACGGTCGAGAGGTAGGGCTTGGAGCCAAAATGCTCGCGAGCGGGCGCTGTAGGCTGACAATACCCTTGATTTCCACGACATGTTCCATGAACCGGTGCTGGACGAGGTCTGCCTGTCCTTCCAAAATGCACTCGAAGCCTGCAACCGCCAAAGCTCCAGACCGAGTCACCATACTAACGACCTGCCATAAAGAGGCGTGAAGGATTGACCCCTGCGCCTTGAGCCCCAAAGCCGAGAGAACCCCCCCAGACCCTCACAACTCCCAAACTTTAGAAACCCGAAACCCGAAACTCCAGAAACACCACGGTGCCCCGGGGCGCTCCCCAAAAGACGCGGCAGCGATCCACCGTAGGAGGTTGGCCTGGTAAAAGAGCTAGGGTCCATGGTTTAGGATGTTTAGGATTGAGGGTTTAGAGTTTTTCATGGGCCCTAAACCCTAAACCCTAAACCCTAAACCATAAACCCTCATATTTAAGGCTTTACGTGAGACTTTCGGGCTTCCATAGGGCCTCAGTCAGTTTTCAGGGGCTTGTCGTTGGAGCATTCTACACGACATCGTCGATATCGTAGCATTCCTTATCAAACCTGCGTTTTTTTTTTAACCGGGGGTATGAAACTTTGGCCTGCCAGCATTAGTGCCGGAGGCGTGCAAATTACACGGTTCAGGGTTTAGGGTTCAGTTTCACGCGAAGCAGACAGAACCACACTTCTAATCTAGGGCTTTATGTGGTTTAGGGTTCAGGGTTTCGACGCACGCCGTACGTTACTTCAACATGCTTCGGCTGTAGATAACCCCTCCTCAGGACCGGGCACTGTGCCCAAAAGGGGCGTCAACGAAGGTGGGGTAGTGGGAGCTGCTGGCCTGGCAACTGAGCCTAGGGGTAGAGGAGGTTGTGACTTAGGTTTTAGGGCTTACTGACTTTAGTCTAATGTTTTCGGGCTTACTGACTTTAGTGTGATGGTTTATGGATTCAGAAGTTCAGAATTTAAGGCAATCTGCATCTTTGATTTGGTGCGTACACCCAGCGTCCTTTACCGGGATGCTACCTGGAATCCTTTAGTGCCACGCTCCGAAGACCTAGTCAGTTCCGAGAATCTGCAGTACCAAGCATCTTCGCGCATGCTTGCAATTCGTACAAGTGGTTTCGCCGTGGCATTCCTTGATGCAAAACCGGACTTGATGTAGCAGAAACCGCAACATTCGGAAGGAGCCCAAATCTCACCGAGACCAGCACTTGCATGCGACACATCATGCTTGCCGGTTTGGGGTGTTGGGGATTCAAAACACTATGCTTGATGCTTTGCTGGCTCGAGTCTGAGTAAACGTAAGATGATAAACTTTCACGCCAAACTTAGAAGGCCCGACTTTCCACTGTTGCCGAGGGAGCCACCTGAACCCGAAGCCAATCTACCTCAAGCCCCACCAAACCCGTCATCAGAGGACCTAACCCTACTTAGGCCCGCTATGAAACATCTCATCTACAGCCCCTGCAGTCCATCCGAACCCCCCCAAGCCCCGCCAACACCCAGAAGATCTCATCTCCCATCTTGCACTCACTGAAAACCCCGAACCCCTACAGCGCAAGAACGCCTGAAACCACAACTCCCGAAAACCGTAAATCCTGCACGCGATACCTTAAACCCTAAACAATAAAGCCTAAACCCTAAGCAACACTGAACCCTAAACCCGAAATCCTAAACAGTCAACCCTATAATGCCCTCAACGGGCAGGCCGAGCAGTCCTGAAGCTCTCCGTGCCTAAGGCTAGAGCGCTGGCGTTAAGGTTCCTATGCTTTAGCGATTAGAATTCAGCGTTTAGGGTTTAGAGCTTAGGGCTCAGGGTTTAGGGTTCAAAGTTTAGGCCTTAGGGCTTAGAGTTCAGGTTTGGGGCCTAGGGTTCAGAGTTTGCAGTTCACATATGTAAAACAATCATACAAACCAATAACTCTAGCTGCATACGTTATTACGTACATCTGTTTCTATTCACGTATGCATACATTTACGTACACATATGCTGTTAGATAAACATGTAGTATACATATACATGCACATACACATGCACGTATACCTTTGCATATACACATTCATATAAATGCATGTGGATATATATATATATATGTACATATATACACATATACAAATGTACATATACACATGCACATGCATACACATACACAGATAAACTTGTATACATATACATACACACACATATATACATATATGCATGCTTACATGTATGTATGTAGGTATGCCTGTATGCATGTATGTAGGCAGGCATGCATGCTTGCATGTATGTATGTATGTATGTATGTATGTATGTATGTGTGTATGAGTGTATGTGTGCATATGTGTACGTCTGTATGTATGTAAGTATTTCGTATGCATGCAGGCTTGCATAGACATACATACGCACATACATACATACATACATACATACATACATACATACATACACATACACACATACACACATACACACATACACATACACATACACATACACATACACATACACACATACACACACATACACACATACACACATACACACATACACACATACGCATACACATACACGCACATGCATACACACACACACACACGCATACACATGCCCATACACAGACATATGTGTACAACTCTTTTGGGAGCCATTAGCTGTGCCATAGACGGGGGAGACAGACAGACAAACACACAGACGGAGAGCTAGATAAACAGACTAATAGCTGGGTAACTAGATAGAGGGGTGGATACTTAGATAGCTAGATAGATACCTTTTGTTAGATAGCGAGATAGAGAGCTGGTAAGATAGAGAGATAGCGAGATAGCTATCTACCTGGCTAGGCTAGCCAGGAAGCTAGATGGATAGATAGATAGATAGAGAGGGAGACAAAGAGAGAGAGAGAGAGAGAGAGTGGGAGAGAGATAGAAAGATAGCTAGATAGCTAGATAGCTAGGTAGTTAGATAGCGAGATAAAGAAACACAGAGAGAGAGAGAGAGAGAACTGATGAGATAACATGATAGCAACATAGCGAGACAGATAGATACATGGATAGATAGATAGATAGATAGATAGATAGGTAGAAAGAAAGATAGATAGACAGACAGACAGACAGATAGATAGATAGACAGATATATAGACAGATGGATAGATAGATAGATAGATAGATAGGATAGATAGATAGGTAGATAGATAGATAGGTAGATAGATAGATAGATAGATAGATAGGTAGATAGGTAGACAGGTAGATAGGTAGATAGGTAGATAGGTAGATGGGTAGACACGTAAACAGTAGATAGGTAGACAGATAGACAGATAGACAGATGGACAGATAGACAGATAGACAGATAGACAGACAGACAGACAGAGAGACAGACAGACAGACAGACAGACAGACAGACAGACAGACAGACAGACAGACAGACAGACAGACACACAG